TTTCTCACTTTCCCTCTCTCTTTCTCTTGCCAGTGAGTGCATGTGCTCTAAGGCAAAAACTTAAAAATAAAAATTGGGAGGGACCAGCAGTTGGCATAATGGCCCAGCAGTTGGACTCCCATGTAGTCGACTGTGGTTTGAGTCCCGGACCCAGTGGCTTAAATCATGCTGGGCATGTGTGCATGCATGCCCAAGATCCTGAGAGGAGAATGAAGAAGGGATTGCAGCATGGCCGTCCACCTGGGGAGTGATTTCTTGCTTTCTGTCTCCGTCTCTGTCTTTCTGGCATACTCATGTGTCCTATAGCAAAAACCTCACCCCTCCCCCCAAAAATAAATAAAACAAAAATCTAGTTAGGGTAGTCTCCCAGTAGTCCTAGCAGGAGATTACTGCAGCTCAGACTAGGGTAGTTGAGGAAGGGGAAGTTAGACGTGATCAGATTCAAGATACAACGTGGGACCAGCAGTCACAGGACTTGCTAACGAGTCAGATGTGGGTGAGATAGAGCTCAGGACGCCTCAGGGTTTTTTGAATGAACTACTGGAAGGATGAGGGTGTCACTTACTGAGAGGAGGGAAAAAGATCTTCAAGGAGAAATGCCATAGTTAAAAGGTCAGTGCTTTAATAAGACTTGACGAGGTCATCGAAATTTGACACAAAAGAGAAAATGGACAAAGTAACCCAAACAATCATGAAAACTAAGTAATAATTTAAAATAAATAAATAAGCAGAGCCAAGTAGAAAGTACGGAAACAGGACCGCCCTACAGCGTAGCAGTTAAGCACCACACATGTGGAGCCGGATCCCAAATGCCCAGCTGTGGTTTGAATCTTGATCCTAGCAGCTTAAAAAATATGCCAGGCACGTGTGCATGCAGGCCCCAGATCCTGGCAGGATAGAGAAACAAGGGAAAAAAGACTGTGGTGTGACCACACCCCAGGGGGATGCTTGTCTCTCTCTGGTAGCCACACACGCCCTCTGACAATAAAAACATGAAAAGAAAGTGCAGAAACAACTGTGCACACACATGAATATATCCACTGGGGACAGCAGTACACGCTATTCTTCGGTTTTAATCCTTCATCTCCAATTCTCCTTTGTAGGTAGAGGTGGCCGTGTATTGAGGACAGCTGACCAGTAAGGCAAGGGAGGCTGGGTGTTTGATGACCTCATAGGCACTGTCCCTGCACTGCCTCCCTTTAGAGTCTTCATAAAAAACAAATAGAGTCTTGGGAACCAGCAGTTAGCGTAATGGCTATGTTGCTGGACTCCCACGTAGTCGACCACGGTTCACGTCCCGGACCCGGTGGCTTAAAACTCACGCCAGGTGCATGTGTGTGCGTGCCCAAAATCCCGAGAGGAAAATGGAGGAGAAGGGATTGCAGCATGACCATCCCCCCTGGGGGGTGATTTCTCTGTCTGTCTGGCGAGCACACGCACCCTATAGCAAAAATCTCTCCAAAAAAAACAAAAAACAAATAGAGTCTCTAATTTGATGAACACATTAGGGATTGTTGTTGTTGTTGTTGATTTTGGTCTCTATTGCTTCATGCCAAATAATTCTTACTAAGTAAGGGGATTCACAACTGGGGAACTTAAAAAAATACATTATTTATTTAATTTTATTTCATTATTATTTAAAAATTTCAATTGAACATGTGTGCTCACCAGAGAGAGAGAGAAAGAGAGAGAGAGAGAGAGAGAGAGAGGAAAGTTAAGAAAGTAAGTAGCCGGGTCTGGCACTCAAACCTCGGTTGGCCATGTGGGAGGCAGCGCCTAGTAACTACCAGGCCACCTGCTGGCCCCAACTGGGGAACTTTTAAACTTACAGTGTTAGAAAAATTTACTATGCATTTGGAAACCAAACATACTATTTGTAAAGAATTTCCAGTGTGATAAAGATTGAAACCCAAGCAAGCAAAGTGATAAAAATAGACTATCGGGGCTGGCAGGTAGTGTGGTGGTTAGGGTGTTGTACTCTCACATGACTGACTGTGGTTCAAGTCCTGGACCTGGCAGCTTTCTTTCACACTTTCCCTCTCTCTCTCTATCTCTCTCTGGTCAAAGTAATAGTAATAATAATAGTAGTAATAAAAATAAAACAATTGTTTAAAAATATCAGACCATCAATACGGTGAGGTGGCCTTTAGTTGCCAAGCAAATCTTGTTCCCCTTATGGGCACACAGGGGAATGGCGTATCCTGCCTCTTGTGGTTGAATGGGGCCATCTGCATGCTTCTGGCCAAGGAGTAATGAATAGGAGAAACAGGTGCACTTCTGGCCCAGAGCACTCCATTGCCTTCCTGAGGCCTTTTAGAGTTGATCTGTCCCCTTCACCACTGTGACCGTCAGTGCTGTTGTCACGGCTGTTCCACCTGCCTGGGTCCCAATGGACGGGTAGCGTGAGCGTGAAAATGAACAGTTGTTGTCATGAGCCACCAAGATCGTAGGTTGGTCTGTCAGGGTTGCACAGCCTGTCTTCTCCTGGCCGATGCGGGACGTGGTACAGTGCAGCAGATAGAAAGTAATGGCGTGGGTGTCCATCTCGCACATGCGCACATGGAAAGTCTCTAAGAGGTATTTTGTTCAAGTTTATGTCTTTCTTTCATGAGGGAGCGAGATAAATGGACAGAGAGAGAGAGAGACAGGCACCTCCCAAGAAAGGGAGAGAGAGAGAGAGAGAAAGAGATGGGCATCCCTCGATAGAGAGAGAGAGAGAGATGGAGGGATCTTCACACCTCCATCCACCCCAGCCTTAGCCAGCCTGGGTCACAGACAAGCACACGCGTGTCTGCTGTTGCTCAAAGAGGTCCCAGGACATGAACCCAGGACCTTTCCTAGATAGGCCCATTGTGTTCCTACTGCATCACCACCTGGCCCCGTAAGAAGTATCAATAAGAGAAAAAAAGCAAAACTCTAAACTTGTACAGTAGGAATAATATAATTTATGTTAAAGTCTACCCACAAAAAGAAACTATATACTTCTATGGGTATATGTACATTCATAAATAGGGAAAAAATCTGAAAAGATAAACATAAAGTCGGTAAGAGCGGTTGCCTCTGGGGAGGCTTGATTAAAAGGAGATTTTTGCTTCACCTGTATTCTTTGAACTTCTTTTCTTCTTGAAACACGGTCTTATGTTATTCATGCCGACCCTGAACTTGTCATCTTCCTGCCTCAGCCTCCTGAGTAGCTGCTACTACAGGCACGTGCCCCCATGCCCAGGCTGAATGACTTAAAAAAAAAAAAAAAAAAAAAGAGGAACCATCATACTTATAAAAGAAACTATTATATAATTGTATGTGCTTCTGCCCTGGTACAGTGTACAAGTCCATTCACTTAGAAATAAGGATAGACTGTGTAGCAAGTGGCCGAGAAAGTCCCTCTTCAACATCGTCCCCAGCACTCACTGTATCCACTAAGTCACATTTGAAAGATCTATCATTAAAACAAAACAAGAAACAAGAAACTATTTGTGTGTGTCCAAAGAAGCACGTAGAGGATCCATGTGGTTTAGAACAGTGAACAGTAAAAGATTTAAAACAACGTATATAGCAGTATATAGCAACAATCAAGCAGAAGTAAAATCTATTTTAAATAGATATTGTGTGAAGGAATACTTTGGAGCAACTATAAAAAGAATGTGGGAGGGCCGGCCTCATAGTGCAATGGTTAGGGCTCTTCAGAGAGAGCTGGATCCCTCATTTGTCCACCACAGTTCAAATCCTGGTGCTGCCAGTTTGAAAAATACGCTAGAATGGGGCCTGCAGGTGGTGTGGTGGTTGAGACACTGGACTCCCACATGGCTGACCACAGTTTGCGTCCTGGACCTGGTGGTTTGAAAATCATATCGTGTGTGTGTGTGTGTGTGTGTGTGTGTGCACGCAGAGTGCCCAAAATTCTGAGAGGAGAATGGAGGGGAAGGTACTGAGGCATGGCCATCCCCTTGAGGGGTGATTTGTCACTTTCCCCCCTCTCTCTTTCTCTCTGGTGATTGCACACACTGGTATTCACCCTATAGCAAAAACTGAAGGGAAAACAAACAAAAAGATTGAAGAGTTAGAGCAAAGTGCTTGACCTGTATATAGGTCAGGAAGGATTAGAGGAAAGAAAAATGCTGAAGAGAGGATCTGAAGGCAGAACTGGTTAGATTCATGTATTTATTTTGCAAAATTCCATTTATTTTGCATCCACTGTATGCTAAGCATTGTGCGAAAGAGTCTGCAGAGATGAAAGCAATCATTCTCTGCCCTCTGGAGGTTCACAGAGAGGTAAACAGACATTCATAAGCAGGGAGATCAGCATTAAGACCCAGTTGTACCTTGTGAATCGGAGAAGCGCGAAGGATGGCAGAAGCCAGCCACGTCCCTCGAGTGTGTGACTTGGCTTTTTTGACCTGCTGCTGCTCCTGGCAATCACTGCCAGGTGTGTAATCCATGTTACACCAGCAATCACCAGACTCCTGAGAGAGGAGAGTGTGTGCTGAGAGTGGGCAACGAGGTCTCTCCCACAGCTAACGAAGTGTTCTGGGCGACAGTGACACAGAGAGCAGGCGTTTCATACCTTCAACCACCTCCCTCTCCTGCCATGCAGGCGCTGTGACACCTTCAGTTCCTTTACTGTGAATTGTGTCTTTCAAAGTCCTTGAATGTTCAGTGCGAATGCTGTCTGACAGCATGCACCCTACAGTACCCAAAATGAACCTGTGCTTGTATTTGGAGCTAGGACCTTTAAACACAGAATGGATTAATGAATGACAAAAGAAATGCAATCAAATCCTCCGGGGTTTCAACAGCCCAGGGAAAGGCAGACGTACGTAGCTGTCACAGCGGATTGCTGTGTCCGTATGAACCCATGTATTTGTCGCTGTCCATCCTTCCTGTTGACTCTGTGCCCTCTCCCTCAACTTCGGCACAGAAGGCAGCTGCTTCTATGGCTCTGGAGGAGGAGGGTCACAACAGACAGGACGACCATCAATGTTCTCCCAGCTTTTGAATTTTGAAAGATTTTTTTTTTTAATTCCTGGCACAGACCACAGACTAAGAGGATGGGTTTTTGAGGATCAAAAGCTAAAATTACTGTCATAAACATTTGATTTGGGTGACTTCATGATATCAGAATAAATTTTCCTTCCTGTATTAATCTGCAAGGACTTCATAACTGAATTCCAGTCTGGGGAGAGGGGGGGCTTAAACAACAGAAATTTCTGGTCTTGAAGCCTGGCAGTCCAAGATCAAGGTGCCGGCAGGACTGGTTTCTGGGGAGCTCTCCCTTCTCGACGTGCAGATAAATGGCTTCTCCCTGTGCCCTCACACGGGCTTTCCTCTGTGCAGGAGTGCTTTCCTCTGTGCAGGGGTGCTTTCCTCTGTGCAGGAGTTCCTGGTATCTTTTCCTCTTTTTAGAAGGACAGCTGCCCTATAGATTAGGGTGCCGTTCTTGCGACCTCAGTTCAACATAATGACTTCCTTAAAGGTCCTGTCTCCAAATACAGTCACATGGGAGGTGAGGGCTTTGACCTACAAATTTAGGGGGAACATAATTCAGTCCATAACGTCTCCTTAAACTGGTAGATTGGTTCTAACCAAAAGAAATACAGTACAGTGCAATTTTAAAATTTTTCCTAGTAGTCATATTTTTAAAAAAGAAAAAGAAACAAGTGGCATTAAGTATAAAATGTAATAGTTTATTTAATTCAGCATTTCCCAAATGTTACCATTCCATCATGTAAGCGGTATTAAAATTACTAATGGTGGGACCAGCAGTTGGCATAATAGCTATGCCGCTGAACTCCCATGTAGTCAGCCGCGGTTCGAGTCCCGGACCCAGTAGCCTAAAACTCATGCTAGGCAATGTGCGTGTGTGCCCAAGATCCTGAGAGGAGAACAGAGAAGGGATTGCGGCGTGGCCATCCCCCCTGGGATGGGTGTGATTTCTTGCTTTCTGTCTATCTCTCTCTGTCTTTCTGGCGAGCGCACGCACCCTATAGCAAAAAACCTTCAAAAAAAAAAAAAAAAAGAAAGAAAAAAATTATTAATGTTTACAGTCCATTGTTTGTACTAAATTTAAAATTGGCTACATTCTCACCGGCACATTTCCAGAACTCGTATCTGTGTGTGACTCGTGGCTACGGCGCTGAGCACTGCAATGTGAGAAGATTCTCCAGGCTGCAGAGAGAAAAAGCTCACATGAGAGTCTACCACCAACGGGCACTGGGGTCCCCAGTGGGCAATTGGGGAAGGAGTCACCGTGATCGGTAGAATCCTAAGGTAATTTGGGGATCTGAGAGAAAGGGCTCTCTCTCAGTTCTCACTTAGGGCCAGAGTAAACAGGAAAGAGAAGAGGCAACCAGCGAAGTCTAACCAGCTCCACCCCCCAGTTCTCCACAGCTTACGAGAAAGTCCCATGGTTTCCCACATCTCTGAGTGGTGAGGATGTGGCTCAGGGTTCACCTCGCAGTCAGGGTAAGGAGCTGCCGGCCCCAGGACTGACGACTGGAGACATGGGGAATGCGACATCAGCACTGAATGCCGGCCAGGGAGTGCTTGGTGGGCAAGAACCCAGCACTTCGCCTCCGGTCCCCTGGAATCTCAGAAGCCACCGGGTAGACAGAGGGGCCAGGGGACGTTCTGAATTCATAGACTTTATCACAGAAGATTTAAAAAAAAAAAAAAAAACTAGGAGTAAGCGTATCTGCAATCTCCCAAACTACATTTCTGCTGTCAGAATGGAAGCTTGAAAGAGAACATTAAGTGCAGCGATCGATTTTTAAGTTTAGTGTTGTGAATTGAAAACACAGGTCTCGCTACCCCGGATCTGCATGAAGGGGAGCAGTCACTACCATGAGAGTAGAAGGGCCCTTCAAAGAGCGGCCTGGCAGGAAGGACTCCTCAAGGACCCTCGCCGGCCAGCAGAGGGAATGCGGGTGTAGGAGGAAGTGTGGCCAGGCCTCTGTACGCATAATTCCTTCTGATCTTGCCTTTTCTTCCACACCTCTTCCTTCTCTGCTGTTTCCAAATTGATCCGTAGAATTGTGCCTCCCAGTTTGTGGGTGCCCTGGAAGAGTGAGGGATGGTGGGAGGCCATCGGGGCTGTGAAACTGCTGGAATCTAGTGTCTGGAGGCCAGAGAAACTACAAAGCACAGGAAACTACAAAGCACTTCATCCTAGCTCTTGGCTTGAGTTGAGTGACTTCTCTAGTTTGCACTAAGTGCTTCAAAACCCCTAGGGGGCCAGCGTAGGGGTCAAGGGAGCTGGATCCCACATGGAGGCCCGTGGTTTGAATATGAACCCTGGCCGTTTCAAAAACATGCTGGGCTTGTGTGCCTGCATGCCCCAAATCCCAGGAGGATGGAGAAATGGCAGAGAAAAGACATCAGTGTGACATGCCTCCTTTGAGGATGCCTGTCCCCTCTCTCATGCTCTATCTCTCTGGCAATTAAGAAAAAAAAAAAAAGAACATTCCTAGGTCGTGGCTGGTTGTGGATTCCCTGGTACATACCTTGTTAAGACCGTGTACCAGGATCAGGACTCCTGGGGTTCAAAGTGTAGGAAGGCAACCAAGAGCGAGCAGCTCCCAGAGGTCTTACTCTCCTCACCCCAGCCTAGACCTCTAGGCTTTCTCGCAGCTGGAAACAAAAATCCTTCAGCCCTCAGGCCCTCCGTGTATGTCGTGTGGGCAGCCTTGCCTCAATGCACACACACGTCCTCACTGAACACAAGGAGGCCACTGAAAGTACCGGAGCAGACACCCTATCTACTATCCACTGGGCAGGGGGAGCAGAAACTGCCAGGAGGGCTTTCTTTTCTGCCTTTAAATTGTAAAATTATAGCCCTTTGGGTGGGCGGGGGCAGGAATTGCCAGGAGGGCTTTCTTTTCCGCCTTTAAATTGTAGAATTATAGCACTTTGGACCTAGAAGAGACTTTAGTGATCACATCATTTTATATGCCTGCTGATATTTAGGATTTTGAGGTTTTGTCCTCTTGTTTAACTTTGGGAATTCTCAGATGGCCGTTAATAAAGTAAAGGCAGGTTAGAGAGGAAAAGTCATCCTCAAGGCTGTCACCTGTTAGAGAAAATGATAAAATACAAGAAACCAGGTCAGCTAAAACATTGGCCCTCTCAGCAATCAGCGACGTGATGATAAAAGCATTGGTAATAAAAGACCCACAGCTTGGGGTCAGCAGGTGGCGTGGTGGTTAAGGAGCTGGATTCCCATATAGTAAACCACAATTTGAGTCCCAGACCTGGTGGCTTGAAAATTGTGCCAGGCACATGTGCATGCATGCCCAAAATCCTAAAAGGAGAATGAAGGAGAAGGGGATACAGCATGGCCATCCCTCCTAGGGGATGATTTCTCACTTTCCATTTCTCTATCTTCCTCTGGCAAGCCCACAACCCTTAAGAACTGGATGGTACCAAAGTAATATTAGAATAAATCATATGAAGTTAAAATAATTTGAAATTCAAAATTGGATTATGAATTCTCCAGAGGAGTATTACAAGTAAAATTATGAGGTTAGCCAGTGGTATGGTGGTTAAGGCACTGGATCTCACATGACTGACTGGGTGGTTCAAGTCCAAGACCCAGTGGCTTGAAAAACATGCCAGGCGCACATACATGCATGCCCTAAATCTTGAGAGCTTCAAGGAGAAGGTATTGCAGCTTGGCCAACACCTCTTCATGGGGGGTTATTTCTCAGTTTCCCTCTTTCTCTCTGTCTGTGTGTCTCTCCAGTGAGTATACACATACTATAGCAAATTAAAAAAAAAAAAAGATAAGATCTAGAGGCTGGACAATGACAGAGTGGTGAGACACGATGCTCTGCAAGGCTGACCCACTTAGGAAGGTTCCGGGGTCATGTCTGGAGATCTCCCAGAGTAAGCTGGACACACGAGTGCCCATGACCAGGAGCTGGCTGAGGGTGGGGGTGCATCTCCGCATCAGGGCCTGTCAGAGGTGCTGTTTCCCTCTCTCTCTCACACTCATGGAAGAAATAAATAAATAAACTTAAAAATAAAATTATGAACTCTCCACAGAATTAAAATACGTGAAGTCAAGTAGAGTAGGTAAGCCTGTACAAGCCCCATCAGAGACTGACATACTATTGCAAGGAGCCTGACATAGCAGTTTTTCCTCCGAATACCTCTGTATTTAACTCTAAAAGTTTCCCTATCCTAAGAAACTCATTCGAACATGAAAGCAGCTTTTAAATGGTCTATCTACCCTGAATATTGTGATCTAAAGACATTTCGGACTTACCACCTTAGAAGCATTTTGTAAGTACTGATAAAGTATTTTCAAAATCCACCCAAGTCTAAAAATACCGTTAAGACATTTGATGGGTGGAGACCTAGCGCACAGACACTAATTGACTCATCATCGTTTGGGTCCCAGGGCAGTGACTGCTCCATGTGGACAGCCTCACTTCCTGTGCCAAGAGGTGAGTCAACGAACTGGTGGCAGAAACACCATTTTACTACTTTGATTTCTTTACTAATTAATTCTATCAAGACTAAAGAACATCACATCAGAGCTGTCAAACAGAAATGTTTGAATTCATGTTTATGTATGTTCTATATATTTATGTTTGCTAAATTTCACAGCTGCATATATTTGTTCCACTTAATCTAGATTTCACAAGACAACTAACCTTAAATATTTTTAGAGATAATTTAATGCAAAAGATTAAATTAAACAAAATATGATTATGTGTAATTTTAAGAAAACACCCTTACATGATAATTCAGAGAAAAATCTATTGCAAAGGGGGCTGCTAATATTAATCAAGTAATAAAATCATGTCTTTTGACATTTTAAATTTATGCTTCAGAGAAATTAATAAATACTCCACCTGCAAAATTACCAGTACATCAATCTTAAGACTACTGTTCAGATTTTTAACAAATAAAACATTCTACTGCTTCTGTTACTGCAATTTTATTTTTCTGATTCTGAACGTACAGAATGACACAACTTCTTAAATACATTCTGCTGGTGTTTCATTTCCTTTATAGCTGTTCAAAATTACTGTCCAATTATCATATGGCCTAACATAAAATTTTAAATAAAGTTGGCATTTCATTTATAACATGCAAGAGAATTTGCTTATTGACTTAAATTCAAAAACACTGAGAAATCCAATATAAAACTCACAGCCTTATTTATTAGTCAGATAGCAAAGATTTATTACCTTCTCTTAGCTATATAATTATTCATCCAAACCAAAGACATGTTGAGCTTACTCATCAGAAAGGACAAAACACGGAAGCTCTTTTTGCCAAGAGTGAACCATAAAATGAATCAGAAAATATTGATTTAATAACAGAGACCTGCGTTCAGGTAGATTTGGCTAGAAGCCAGATACAGGAGGACATTGTTTATGGGGACAGCTGCAAACTCTTTCTCATACTTCTTTTTTAGCTTCAAGTCTCATGTTAATAGAAGAATCTAAAAGAGCAAGCCAAGATGGTGGTAGAGAAGCTTACTACACCTTAAAGAGCCATGGCTCTAGTTTTGAAATCAGTGCAAAAATTAAAGATGAAATGCTAAAGCAACTTTTTATCACTTACCTTACAGGCAAACATGTGAAAGTTAATGCAAATCAGGTGAAGCAATTCCGGGTGGTGATTGAGTGTGTTTGTTTGTTTGCTTGTTTGTTTTTTAAGATACCTTAAAAACACTGAATTCCCACATGGCTGACCCTGGTTTCAGTCCCAGATCTGGTGGCTTGAAAGTCACATTAAGTGCACATGTGTGTGTGCCCAAGATCTCTGGAGGAAAATAGAGGAGGAGGGATTGAAGCATGGCCATCCCTCCCCTGGGAAGTGGAGGGTGATGTCTCATTTTCTCTCTCACTATCTCTGTTTCTCTCTCTCTCTTTCTCTCTTGGGTGAGTCCACGGACCCTAAGGTGAAAACCTCTACAAAAAAAAAAAAAAAAAGATACCTTAATCATTTGAGAGTTCATTTGCAAAGGGAAGTAAGCGGACTGTTCTACAATTATAGGGTCAATATGACTGTAAGCATTATCATTCAAGAGGCAGAGTTTCTGTCCTATAATCCAAGACAGCATCTGCTCTCCCTTCTCCCTTTGTGGAAAGACTGTGTCACTCTGGCCACGAAAATGAAACATACATACATCTCATTTTTGCTTTTCTGTAAAATGCTGGCCTCTCCAGAAGCTGTTGGAAGAATTTATTAGACAATAATTGTAAAAGATTTTGCAAGCCTAGTGAGCTAATTGCATGCTAGAGAACAAGGATTAAAGACAAACTATCCTCCAAAAGAAAATCAGGGGAAAAAGATAAATAAAAAATAAACACCACCTGAGGTTCACCTGAGAATGAGACCCAGAGAGAAACTGACTGAAATAGTTTCAAGCAGCTAGAGTTTGGGGGTGGGGGAAGTTCTTTACTTCATTTTAGAAAGATACATGGGAAAGGACAGAATATAATGGAAATTATGCCCAAAATAATGATGCTGTCTACTATTGCCAGTCCATATATGCATGTGTGCATTGTATATAGCGATATATTATCTATTAAGAATAGGGTTATGGGGCTAGCAGGTGGCGTTGTGGTTAAGATGCTGGACTTCCACATGGCTGACTGTGGTTTGAGTCCTGGACCTGGCAACTTGCTTTCTCACTTTCCCTTTCTCTCTCTCTCTGGTAAGTGCATGTGCCCTGTAGCACATTTAAAACTAATAATAATAAATAAAATTAAATATAAAATTATTTTTAAAAGAATAAGGTTAGACTTTTCCCAGCAGTTTAGAAACAATTTGCCCAAAATATCCATATAATTCAATTAAGAATATATTTTAAATTTTAATTGTTTCAAAACTCACTTCAGTTCCCTTCTTGATAGTGTTAGATTTGACCACACCCAAAAATAGTTACCTGGATATGAAAAATCAGTCTGGATAAGGTTATTACAATAAGAAGAAAATCAATATTAATTAAACCAGTGAGGTAGGTATCTACAAAACAGGTTGTGATGGGAAGTACTGTACTCTGGAGCCAGGCAGAACTGGCTGAAAAACTGGCTCTGCCGCTTGTGGGCAACATGGCTTTTGACAAATTACTTAACCTTTGAGTCTCGGTTTCCTCATCTGCGCAACAATATGATACCTCCCTCACTGGCTGGCTGTGAGGATTAAATGAGATTACATTTTAAGAGTGTCCTGTTCACAGCCTGGTTGTCCACTAGGCACTTCAAAACAACAGTAGGGGACCAGCAGATAGTGTAATGTCCAAAATCAGTCAGTGCTAAAATTGTGAATAAATTCTATAAAAGAAAAGTAAAAGGAACCTCTGTTATTTGTGTCCACCCCAAATCTTGAAAAATGACATTGCATTTGATAATTCCCTACATTGTGTATCCTGTCTTCCCAAAGTCAACTCTCTTGACTATCAATCCAATATTCTTTTAGTGCCTTTGAATCAAACTTAAAAGACATTCCAACATACTACTGCTTAAAAAAAAAAAAATCCTGGGACCAGCAGTTAGCATAATGGCTGTCGCTGGACTTCCACGTAGTCGACCAAGGTTGGAGTCCTGGACCTGGTGGCTTAAACTCACGCAGGGCAACTGTTCGTGTGTGCCCAAGATCCCAAGAAGAGAATGGAGAACGGATTGCTCCGTGGCCATCCCCCCCTAGGGGGTGATTTCTCGCTTTTTATCTCTGTCTTTCTGGCAAGCACATGTGCCCTATAGCTAAAACCTCTCCAAAAAACAAACAAACACAAATGAATAAAACAGTAATAGAAGAGAGACACAGGCTCTCGGTCCCAGTGGCCAGCGCCTCACTTCCGGAAGCACCTGGGCCCAGCAGCTGCCTATTGCTTGCGGTGCTACCGGTTAGCCCCAGTCCGGGACTGAAGGTGTGCCGCTCGACCAAGGTCCAAGCCCCACTGTCCGCACGTCTCAGGCCTTAGTCTGCAGCCATGCGGGCGTCTGCGTGACTTTTGCGTGCAGTGATCACGGGGGTCCCGGGCAAGGGCACTGTGTGGTCACGCGTCACCAAACACTTCCAGCTGAAGCACCTCTCCCGCGGGGACTTGCTCCGAGACAACATGCAGAGTGCAGAAATGGGTGTGTTTAGCCAAGACGTTCATCGACCAAGGGAAGCTCGTCCCAGATGATATCATGACTCGGCTGGCGCTGGCCCTTCATGAGCTGCAAAATCTCACTCAGTATATAGCTGGCTGCTGGATGGTT